CTCCCTCAGTTTTCGTTGATTACTCGCGTATTTGGGGATGCAAATGCTGACAAGGTATCCAACACAAGCTGAGATGTGCACAAAGGGTCCTTCTTTTCCCAAACACATGCCCGTTGCGACTGCAAAGATTGATCCGATGGCCTTGACGATAAGGACTTTGAGATCGAAGAGATGAGGGATGCAGAAGCCGGACAATACGGTTTTTATTTCGGGGATGCCGCTTCCTGCCGCCATGTACATAACCTTTCCACCGGGGCTTTCTATGGAAGCAGGTGACCGTTCTTTCTCGGGAGCAATGGCAGTGAGACTCATCTTCGTAGTTGCGGTGACAATCCCAGCGATCATACCAAAGGCTAGAGCAAGGCCAACATAGATGGCGTATGCATGCATATAGCTTTCTGTCCATGGCTTCCAGTTCTGACACTTCATCTCTGATGCACAGCATGCTCGGCGACTTAGAAATATGTTGTTGGTGCAGTAGCCATCTTTGAGATCTGCTAAAACCTCAACACTGACATCTACGAATGCCGCGATTGAGGCTGTGAGAAGACCGATCAGGAAAGCTGCGACCCACCCCTGAGAAGCGTCCCATAGTTTGGTGATGCGATAGCGTATCCCGCGTCGCGCATAGAGACTTGAGTTGTCGCGTCGATGACTATCTTGCACGAGGTCTTGAAGCCAGTCGATGGTATGGTAGTCACTATATGGTAGACTGTCCTGCTGTGAGGCAGTGTTTGTGGGAGCGGCCTTGATGCCGCGTTTATGTGATGGTAGTAGGGGAGTAGTCTCCGTCATTTCATCTATTTCCATAGGCGTCGAGTCGGAAGCCATGTTGGGCTGTATGATGAATAGGTGAAACGGGTCGCCAACAGCATGAAAATTCCGGGGATGTCATTGTATAAGATTTTGGGATATAGCATCCCCGGAGATCAAATGGAAAAGCTGTGGTCTCTATCATATTTGCAAATCTACCGGAAAAGAAAATCACAGACTTCGAACCTGTGACGTCAATGCATTGCATCTCCGGGCTGAACACAGCCCTCCAGGGTCTTGTGATAAGGTTGCAGCACCAACTGACCTATCACTTCTGTGCCAGACATGGAGGCCGGTGTTTCATTGGTGAAACTAATAGCGGGAAGATGTCCAGATCGACTGCCAGATACCCTTCTCAGGCGGCAAAGCCGAGGGATCTTGTTAACTGTAATACCTGCACAAGTTCAACTTTTAACGGAAGGGCCATAGCTGATTCGATGCATATCTGTCAAATCTGCACGGTGGCAGTCTAGAACATTGTGCAGAGATAAGCAGTCACACCAAAACCGCCACTATCTCCAATTCTCGCATGCAACAAAGATAAGAACCCTGGGTATGGTTCAAGATATCATCTTTGACAGATGTTCGACAATCGACTGAAAAGAAAAGTCAAAGGCCCATCTGTCAAAAATAGCGCTCCGCGGAGATATATATATAATTATATATTCTGTGTGACGCTCAGTCCAGGAATTTCGCTGATCGACGTCCTCGTGAGCCGAGAGATTGTCATGCTCACCCCGCATAACATGGCACATGGCCTGCTCACAGACACGGCGGCAGATAGTCACTAGCGCCAGTGTTAGATAAACCCAAATGAAATCCCCAGCGTTTATTTTTCGACAGGCCCTGCTATGCAATATTTGATATTGGCCCTAGCAATAAATTTCCTTATAAGGCTCTGTCTCTAATAACATTCATTCTTCCACCCTAATTGAAGTCATGCGATCGCCTCCCATCAATCATGAATATCCCATCAGTCAAGAATTTCACCTATACCAGCAGTCCAAAGTTCAACATGATGGCTAGCAAGCGCTTACGCAGTTGTCTGGTCACTGGTACAGTACCAGCTTAAGCAAGGCCTGGCTCTTGATAGAAAAGGATTGAAGTTTTATGGAGTCCCAAGAATTTACTGCTATTATAGTACTCAGATTGGTATTGGACATATGGAGCCATGGACCGAGTGTTGATATCATGGATCTGATCCCCAGGCAGCCCTTCCGTGTTGCAGGATATGGCTTTAATCTTACGCCGAAAATCACACCTAAGACGAGGATATCCGACCGAACCAATCTGGCCACCAATGAGGACGAGCGTTAATGTCTTGTAGTCATCTAAATGTTGAAACTCCTTTGCCCAAGTGTGCAGGATATTCACATATCATGTGAGATTCTCCGGTGGTATCTCCCAATGGAGCTTCCATGTAGGCAAAGAAAACGGAGAAGTTAATAGGAAGCTAGTTGGACTCAAATAGGGAAGGATTAAGAAAGAGAGATAGCTACTATCTACAGACGGCAACCTGAGATGAGATTAGATCTATCTCAGACAAAACATACGCAGCTTTGTTAGGCATGCTGGGAGATAGAAATCCAGGTACAACTTATAATTAGAAGACAATTATGTCTTTGAGGTATCAATATAGGGTGACAGCTGAAAGAGGATAGCCATGGAGAGGAATGTCCTTGTGTTGGACGCCAACTATTAGAGGCAAGTCCACCACCTCTGTAAGCTACATTGACCATGTTCTCACGGTTAGAAACGGCATGCCTTCGATCTCAATAGTCTGACTGATTCACACGCCTGATTTACATCTTCAACTTTCGTTTTTCGCTCCAAGTCAAACGTGCGCCATAAAAACTGAATCCAACTTACCTTGTCTGCTAGACCTCACTGGCATGTCGACAGCACAACAACATCAATTAATCAACATCAGAAACTTCCAGCAGTCTCTAGCAGATTCTGAATTTCTTAAATGGAGCTAGTGAGTAGTAATTTCGCGAAGTTTCTAGAAATCTGACATCCTGCCAATCAACCTCATGCATCTGAGCCTAAGGATCATCATCCCAAGGCAGAAGTCCATCCCCAAGCAGAGCAAAAACGCATAAGAACAGTCAACAAGACCATTAAAAATTGTATTTCAAATCAATTCGCCTCTTTCAATCACTCTAAGCACCATCAAACCCATTTTACACAATGTCTTCCCTTCCCTTTAGCGCTCCGCCCTGGCCCGTCCCCGCGTCAGCAAATCTTACATCATCCACTATTTCCGTTCCCGATGGTGAGATCGAGCGGCTCAAGACGCTCCTCAAGCTGTCGCCTATTCCATCAGCGAATATTTGGAATTCACGGGACGATGGCGCTTTTGGACTCCCGAGAAAGACCTTGACGGAATTGGTTGAGTATTGGGCGAATGGTTACGATTGGAAGAAATGGGAGGCTACTCTCAATTCGATCCCGCAATTTGACATCACTGTCACTGATGATGACGCGAAAGATTACAAGATCAATTCTCTGGCTTTGTTCTCTAAGAACCCTGCTGCGGTCCCCATTCTGTTTCTTCATAGTTGGCCTGGTTCTGTTGTTGAATACTTCCCCATTCTTCAGAAACTCAAATCTGAGTACGATCCTGAGTCTCTACCCTACCACATCATCGTTCCTCACCATATCGGGTTCGGTTTCTCTGATGCGCCGCCTCTCGATAAGCCATTCACCCACATTGATAACGCCCGGCTCATGTCAAAGATGATGCACTCGTTGGGCTTTGGCAAGACAGGGTATATGACCCAGGGAGGCGATCTCGGCGGCTGGACCGCACCTGTCATCGCAAACATTGATCCCGCATGTAAATTGGTTCATATGAGCATGTTAAACATCTCACCTCCTCCAGGTGAAGATGTCGAAGAAGGAATCAAGGCCGGCAAGTATACTCCCGACGAAATGGCAGCGTTCGGCAGAATGGCAAACTTTCAAAAGAAAGAAACAGCCTTCATCCAACTCGACGGCACCAAGCCAGCTACAGCAGGCTACATCTTCGGCAGCAACCCCATAGCCCTCCTCGCCTGGATCGGCGACAAGATGCACCGCTGGTCCGACGAAACACCCTCCAAAGACCTCACCCTAACAAACATAGCGCTCTACTGGTTCACAGGCTGTTACCCAACATCTATCTATCTTCACCTCACAGTTCTCGAAGACCACGAGCTCATGATGAATGCCTGGAAGACTCTCAAAGTACCGCTCGGGCACTCGGCGTTCAAGAAGGAACTTGTTACTGCACCGGAGAGATGGATTCAGCAGACGGAGCAGGTGAAGTGGTATAGAATGCATGACAAAGGTGGACACTTTGCTGCGCTTGAGGAGCCGGATGCGCTTTGGAAGGATGTGGAGGACTTCATTGGGGCGTTTTGGGAGAAGTGAAGCGATTCCAGTCACGATGCAGCGCTTGGAATGGGAACGGGTAGAGGCAAATGCCGAGGGAAGTTTATGTCAAATTTGGGCAAGTTTCGTACTCTATCGGAATAGTTATTTAATTCTCTTACGATCAGGTCATGTGTCATCCGCAGTCTTGAGGTACTAGACATGAAATATACGAGGATATTTCATCCCTTCCCTTAGCACCAATAACCCATCAGGTTAGGTCACGACGATCTCAATACCGCCCACATCACGACTCGGCCCTAAATTCATCCCCAAATTCTTCCTCCATTGGCTCTCTTAGCACCGATCAATGTCTTCCAACATCTAATTTGTCCGCATCGAATTCGGCACTTGCGTGCCGGTTTATGGTTACATCGAGGCCCGAGCCACGCGATGCCCCCTGGGGTATTTACCCCAGATGACGATGGCACCGATCTGCATACCCCGCAGATTTGGAGAAGCGGGCGAATAAGCCTTGGCGCACCATTCCCTGGCGCATTTGTCCACGGAGGAATTTGTGAATAGTTACTCCTTTGGAGAGTGTGTGCGAAATAGGAAGGTGGTTAGCCGCTTCGTCTGGTGTTGATGCGATGGGGTTCGGGGGAGGGCATCGGAGGAGAGACCCTCAGGATGGATATATCTATATAAAGAGCTCTTATTCCGTGTCGTAATTACCATTTCTTGTAACTCAGCAGCTCTTCTTCAACCTTCTGTCTAAGAAACTTGGCTCTGGTTTTACACATCTTCTCATAGTCCCCGGACTCAACATCACAATGCTTCTCCAAAGCGTCTTCGCTCTGGGTCTCGCCACCACCGCTCGTCTTGTCTCAGCAGGACCATGCGACATCTACAAGTCCGGCGGAACACCCTGCATCGCCGCTCATAGCACTACCCGCGCCCTCTTTGACAGCTATACCGGCGGTCTCTACCAGATCAAGCGCGCCTCAGACGGAGCCCTCACCGACATCAAGCCTGTCTCCGCAGGCGGTGTCGCAGCTTCTTCTGCCCAAGACTCCTTCTGCAGCGGCACAACGTGTCTCATCACCATCATCTATGATCAGTCTGGCCGGAGCAACCATTTGACCCAGGCTCCTCCTGGTGGCTTTAATGGCCCCGATGTGAATGGCTATGATAACCTTGCCGCTGCTGATGGTGCACCTGTTACGCTCAACGGCAAGAAGGCTTACGGAGTGTTTATCTCTCCTGGTACCGGCTATCGTAACAACCAAGTTGACGGTTCTGCCACTGGCGATGAACCCGAGGGTATGTATGCTGTTCTCGACGGAACGCATTACAACGGTGCCTGCTGCTTCGACTACGGCAATGCGGAGACCAACAGCAAGGATACTGGCAATGGACACATGGAAGCTATCTACTTCGGCGACAACACCGTCTGGGGCTCTGGTTCCGGCAGCGGCCCTTGGATCATGGCTGATCTTGAGAACGGTCTCTTCTCTGGACAGGGCGCCAAGCAAAACACTGCGAACCCAAGTATCTCCAACCGTTTCACCAGTGCTGTCGTCAAGGGCAAGCCCGGCACGTGGGCCATCCGTGGTGGAAATGCCGCCTCGGGTTCACTATCGACTTTCTACAGCGGTGCGCGCCCTGATGGTGGATACAACCCCATGAGCAAAGAAGGCGCAATCATTCTCGGCATTGGCGGTGATAACAGCAATGGAGCCCAAGGAACTTTCTACGAAGGAGTAATGACTAGCGGATACCCTTCTGATGCGACCGAGAACTCGGTGCAGGCCAACATCGTCGCGGCCAAATACGCCACCACATCTTTGACAAGCGGAACCGCCCTCACCGTCGGATCCTCTGTCACCCTCAAAGTCACTACCTCTGGCTACACCGACCGCGTCCTCGCACACAGCTCCTCCAACGTCAACACCCAAGTGATCTCCAGCTCCAGCTCCACCGCCCTCAAGCAGTCAGCAAGCTGGACCGTCCGCACCGGTCTCGCCAACAGCGGCTGTGTATCCTTCGAGTCTAAAGATACTCCTGGTAGTTACATTCGCCACTCTGGCTTCCAGCTGTACGTGAACAAGAGTGACGGAAGCAAGATCTTCAATGAGGATGCTACTTTCTGCCCCCAGAAGGGTATCAGCGGAACAGGAAGTTCGTTCCGATCATGGAGCTATCCGACCAGGTACATTCGCCACTACAACAACGTTGGGTACGCTGCTTCAAATGGTGGTGTTCATGACTTTGATTCTGCCAACAGCTTTGTCAATGATGTTAGCTTTGTTGTTGCCACTGGCTTTGCTTAGATGGAATTCAGATTATGACAGGTTTGAAGTGGAAATCACAGCTGATTGGCTGAAGAACATTCGGGGGTAAATGAAATATCAGTGTTAATCAATTGATTATTCAATTTATTGGAGTTTGAAATCAGTTCCTAAAGGCAGTGATAGAGAACATGATCCTCACTTTGACTCCTCAAGTTCCTTCTTCTCACTGTCTCCCAAAAGACCCAGTGCCTCACGACGCGTAGGAGCCGATGCATCAAAGTATGGCTTCTCAGCCAAAGAAGTCACTCGCGTGCCATGTCGCGGTTCTCTTCCACTATAGTCCCAGCTTGCATTATGGATAGTGATACTAAAACCAGTTAGCACTTCGTATTTCAGTGAACCTTCTGAAGCTTACCGGTTGTCCCAAAGCGCTGAGGTCCTGGGCGTCCACTTAAATCGGACTTGAATGTCAACGTTCTGCTCATAAACATCATACAAGTAATTGAGAATAACATCACTCTCCGCCCGATCGAGACCAACAATCCTATCTGTCATCGCACGGTTCACCCAGAGCGCCTTCCAGCCCGTGGCAGGATGAACACGAACAATAGGGTGAATGCGCTCAATGTACTTTGGACCTTGTTCGGGATGATCACGGTCCAGGTAGGGGTGAGCAGAGCGGTAAACAGCCTCCCGGCCATCAATGATCTTGCGGAACTCTGGGGAGAGCTTCTCATATGCAGCGTAGCCAGATGCCCAGAGGGTATCTCCACCAACAGATGGGATAGTATCGTTGTGGAGATGTGTGATACCTGCTGGTTGCTTCTCATGGACGAGATCTGTGTGCCAGCGCGATGCACCGCCAGGTTGACGGAAACTGGCTGGGCGCTCTTGAGCCATGAGATCGGGCCAGAGGACGCTTACTCCTGGGACGCCAGGGACATGAGGGACTTGAGGCTATGTCGTGTGAGTATCTGCTCCGAGGAGGATCGAGTGAATCACTCACGTGAATTTCAACCTCACCGTACCACTCTCCAAGCTCCTTCTGCTGCTGTGGCGAAAGATCCTGATCTCTGAAAAACACAACACTTCTCTCGGCGATGAGCAGCGCGAGTTCATCTCGCTGCTGATTAGTGAGATCCTTCAACTGCAGACCTTCAATTTCAGTTCCGATGTAAGCTGTCAGATCAGTGACCTTTGTCGCAGCGGACAGAAGGCTCTTCTTTGACTTGTCAGCTCGAGCACCAGCGTCGATATGATCGCGAGGCTTGTCTCTAATCTTGTAGACATCATCGAGATACAAAGGGCGAGAGGGACGGTAGGGATAGCCTTTGGAGAGGTCTACACCCGATTTCTCGAGACGCTGCTTAGCTGGGTCGGGGATCTTGAGTGTGTCTTTGATGGGTTCGGCGACATCTTTGATGCTGGGGTCAATTGGGGCTGGAACCATCTTGAACTAACTGGACTTGAGTATCTTATATATTGGTTTAATTATGAATTTTTGAATAGATCACTTAGAATTGCAGCAGTATAAGGCAACTTGATATAAGATCATCATCCCCTCGGTACTGTTACAATGACCCCAACTTGGCCAGTCACGCCATGATGGCAGACAATGACCAAGACTTACTGCGACAAACCTCATTGGCCCACGTTCGACATGCGATATGCAAACTGATTGCAACATAAATAGTCGTCCAATCCATTTCTCAAGATATTGCGCGATCGAATGATCTTGGCTCAAATCGGAAATAACAGCACCTCGTTTGTTAGTTGATGGTGTCGTGTAATTGAGGATTTGTAAGACTCGGACGAGATGTCGACCCCTCACTTCGTTATGATGCTGACGAATAACCATTAGAGTCGCCGTTTGTCCGCTATTTATAGCCAAAAGGAGATATGTTGGATTCGTAGTTGCTCCTTGTTCTTTCTGCTGGTTGAACTAGTCTCTCTCCGATCAAGTGACTGAGTCGAATTTCATAGTGTGACATACAAACAGAAGGTGGGGACACCATTGAAAAGAAAAATGGACATTCATATTAGACATATACTTCATGCTTTAAGCTCCTACAACTTCGCCCGAGGAACAGCAGCAAGCTCTTGACTCTCACTGCTCCTCCAAACAGCCGCAGCCTTGGGCTTACTATCCTTCCACTGCCACTTCGCCTGACTCTGCTTCTCCTCCACAAGCAACTTATGCACAAACTGCCCAAAGATCGGCAACATCTTAAACCCATGCCCACTATCACCACTCAACACCGCCAAAGTCACATTAGTACCAGGGACGTAGTCGATGATGAAGTCCGAATCATCCGTGTCAGCGAACCAGCATAGATGCTGATCAATCAGAGGTCTGTCAGCCAGTTGAGGGAACACCTCTTTGAGAAGAAGACGGATGTGCGTTTCGTCCTCGAGAGGCATGAATTGTGAATCTGCTAGGTCGGGAAAGGGGATGGAGAGACCATCTTTGGAGAAGGCGTAGTTTGTGAAGGCGCCGCCCATGTGGCAGAATTTGAGCTTTTTTGTTTTGAGGTCGGGCTCGAAGAAGAAGGCGAGGTCGCGGACGTTGGTGACTGGGATGCCCTTGAGTTCGGCTGCTTCTTTGTCTGTGAGTTGGATATGCGCGACGCCCCATGCTCGACCTGTCATTTGTTTTCCAATGCGCGGAAGAATGTTGGCGGCGTCGGCGCCTAGAGCGACGATGGTCTTGTCTGCTGAGTGGATGGTGCCTCCGCGTGTCCTGGCACCTATACATTTCGTCCCCTCGCGACTTGACGCATACAACAATGACTCGACTTCACCATCTTTCGTTCCGAGATGGAACTTCACGCCAAGTTTGACGCACTGCTCGTACACAGCTCTCAGAGCATTAGCTGAGTGGCCGTAGCCCGCGAGCTTGTTGTGATAACCGGTGAAGCCGGTAAGAGGGCCACTGAACTTGGGAACGAGCTTCTTGATCTCTTTGCTGCTATTCACACGGACGGTTTGGTCATTAAAAGCTGGGTTCTTCTGGAGTGATTGGAAATAGCTCTCCACTGCGCCTTTTGTGTTCTGTGCGGCCTTCCCGGACGTGACATTGAGAAAGCCGGTTTGATGATAGTGTGGAGAATAGAGGGGATCGGATTGCCATTTTCGAATCGCGTCCTATAAGTTAACGTTTAGTCAGAAGTTCTTATCCTAAAATAAAGGCTGAGCGGCTTACGAGAGCTAATTGAGTGTAAAAGTCATCGGCATACTCGGCGCGGATGACCTTGTTGAGATCATAGGCAGCGGAGAAGCGGCTTGGCACATCAACATCTTTCTCGAGAATTGTGATATTCTTGTAGCCCTTTTGAGCTAGTTCAAATGCCGTCGCCAGACCGAAACAGCCGCCTCCGAGAATGAGGATAGACTGATTTGTGTTTTCTGTAGACATTTTGCAAGATTGTGAAGGCTTGCTGGCGGGGATGAGGCGCTATTCCGGAGAATGGTCCGCGACGATGCCTATTACAGAACCCAAACTCGAATACAAAAGTTACTATAATTATGGAATAAAGTAAAGGATAAGGGAAAGATAAACGATGGGTGGACTGCATTTAAAAACATCCAAGCCATCAATTGTTCTGGAAGAATGGCTAGCATACCCGCATCGGGTCGTCATCCGATATCGCCAAAGAAACATCACGGCATCATCTGGTTGGATAAGATAACGAATTTTGGAGACGAGCTCCTCACGAGGACCACAGAATTCGTTAGCGTAGCCGCCGCGAAGACACACCGGCCGCCACCAAAAGATAACTCAACCTCCACTTCTTCCCCGCTTCGTCGGTGTCTACCCCGGATTATGGGCATCATGTGGTCTTTGGGTCTGGTAACACGGCATAGAGATACTACACTGGTAGCCTCAAATTATGGGCTGCTTATTGGTATCAAAGATATGGTGTGACAAGTGAGAACCCATCCTATGCCAAGGTCTGCTCTTGAGGGTCGGCGCATCATCTTTCCCATTTGCCATATGTTTAGTGCTCATCTCACCGCATGATATGCAATTTGGCATAGACAAAGCTTACGCATTCGGAAGTTCTTTGCTTTCTACGGTTCGTCCGCTGCGGTTTCGTTGCCGAGAGCCGGTCGGGCTAGGAGCCAATCTTTCAACCCGGGCCCAGCATCACGGAAGCCATCCCGAGCAGTCGCCGCTCGGCCCCACCAAGACATGATGCCTTCATATCTCAATCGTACCATGTTGATCGCTAGCGTCAGACTTTATTCCAATTATCTACAAGAGGACTCAAAACCTCAAGTTTCATCTTTCGATAAATGTCCAAACCGAGGCCCTCATCTCGGCCCTTGCCGATGCAGTCGCTTGCTCCCGATAGCGAGCCTAACTCATGCTGTAACAATGCCATACCTCAACAACCCCATCGAAGCACCAAGTAAAATTGCCAACGGCGGTGCGACACCAAAATATCGTCCTCCCACAAAAGCCGTTGCAGTGACAACAACCCACCAAGGATCGTCAGCAAGACTCTTTCCAGACTGAAAGCCCTGATCGATGTATCCAACCTGCCATATTCTATAGACAGCCGTGTAGATCAATCCGACAGCACCAGCATTGATGCCTCGCACGGCAGACTTGACCCAGCGTCGCGACCGCAGAACTCCCCAGACGCCCATCGTTCCGTGAACCAGAACCATGCCTGGGACGAAGATACCAAGGTAAGCAATCAGCGCTCCAGCAATCGCCGGGTATCCACTGTTCGCAGCTGCGAGGCCGCCTAAAAACACGGCGAAGTTGAAGTTTGGTCCTGGGAATGCCTGCACAATAGCGAGGCCGATGAGGAAATCCCGCGGTGAAACCCATCCCTCAGCAACGACATACTCTCGAAGAAGAGGAATTACAACGGGACCGCCGCCAAAGATGATTGTTCCAGCCAGGTATAGGTTGGCGAAAAGCTTGTAGAGCAAAGGAGGTGTCGGCAAAGTCCCGCGTAGGACGAGAACGACGATGAATGAGAGGAGGAAGACGGCGATGACGGCTGTTCCAGACTTCCATGAGAAGTTGAGGCGGTACTCCTGGGGCACGACACGTGGTTCATCCTCTCGGGGGCCAGACTCCGATATCTCAGCAAGGGCGACTCTCGAATCATTGGCGTTACCGTCGGTTCCATTCTCAGCACCTTGAATATTCTCACTCTCCGTGACTATTCCCCTCCTCATCCTAAGAAGAGCGTTCTTCACAGCTCGGACCGGACGATGCAGCCAGCGAAAATCATGCACGATAGTACAGCATCCACCCGCAACAATGAGGACTGGGAAATACCAGAGAGCGTTGTACAGTATCCCGGCCATGGCAGTGATTGAAAGAACAAGCCTCGTAGCTTGATCTGTGATAGCCTTGTCGGAGAGTTCAACGGCTGCCAACGCGATTATCCCGACAGTAGCTGCATTTAGACCTGAGAGAAGAGCGTATACCGCGCGAGGTAGTGTATCCCCGATGCTGGATACACCAATGGAGAGTCCAAACATGCCTAGAAAACCAGGCAAGCTGTTTTGGTCAGTCGCGACCTATCAGATACAAATCACGCGTCATACCTCCAGATAAAAAAAGCTAGAAGAGCTTCGAACAGGCCGCCATGGATCAAATTGATACAGTAAAGCATCTTGGTACTAGCAGGGCCAGAAAGCGCCTGAGAAACACTGAAGAGCTCCTGGAACTAAACATTACTGTTAATCGGGTGTGATGGCTTAGGAGGGAGTGAAAACGAACGATCTGCTCATCTATCCATTGCAATTTCGTAACAAATTTGTCATGAAACTACGTCCGTTAGCCATGCTATCAAAACGCTGTGAGAGGTTATGCTTACGATTTTGAAGTGCACGGGGGGTCCGCCGAACGCGGTAAAGCCGAGATGCCAATTGACCTTGAGCGTCTGCAGCGCGCGATCTGCGGCTCTACGCAGCGAGTTTTCCCAGCCGCCGACAACCATTTTGAGCCCTTTGAGATATCGCTAGATGCTCAATCAACGTGTTTGGAGGATGCGAGGAGATAAGTGACTCACGTAATGGCGATTGAAGCTTCATTTCAACTCCTGGCGGTCACGTCATTGGATCTAAACCTCTTTCAACTCTTGGCCGCGATTGACCAATTATCGTGCGGGTGTGCCAGGTACCTGTTCTCTCACCGTGATAATAATTGACCTCGCATTATTGGGCCAGTGTCGATGAAAGCTTTTTTTATTGCTATTGTTAGGTTTCTTGGCGGTGGCCAGCCAATGGTGAGAGACGAATTGGGCACGAGGATTGGCCCTTAAGGGCATCTCTTGAAGCACAAGCTGACCATGTATTTCCACGTAGTATCGTGAGCTAGATAACAAATAAAAACAGATTCAACCCCATCAAGGCAGTTATAGACCAAGACGTTCATCTGCATCCTCCAGACTCGCTGACGCATCTTATATCAACCGAAATCTCTCCATTGGCACACCTCTCTCCTTCAACCTATGCTCTGCCATCCGTGGGTCGTAAAATCTTTCGTTCTCCATGTAGTTATCATATTCATACTCATGTCTCCAATAAGGAATGTATCTCCCATCTATTTCAGCTATATACTCCGTATACCCAACGGGCAACGGAATCCCATCAAGTCTTGGATCTGAGAAACTGAGAGGCTCATCCGCTTTCCGAAACGCAAGTGTCTGTGTCTCCTTACACCACAATTTCTCCCAGCCGCAAAAGTCATCCCCGAGTAAGGCTTGACCGTTAGAAAGCCCTTGATGGTAGCACGGTCCGACGACCTTGTAGGAACCATCTTCTGGTTGAGGGCGGAGAACTAAGTTGGTGGACAGGCCAAGAAGAGTCACTATTATATCCCCCTCGCAGCTATGTAAAGGGACGCGCGCGAGGGTTCCTTGGCGAGTCTTTGTGCAACCGTTTACCACAGAATCCCTCTGAGTATGTGGTAAGATGTAATTATCGTCTGAGATGGCGTTGCCTGTAATCCACTGCCGTATCATTCTTCGTCCGATTTCGAAAGAGATTAATGCCCGAGAAGGAGGATATCTTGTTCTTGATGTACTGTAGTCCCATAGGTTACCAAACATCATCATAGTCGACAACTCGTCGAGGCATTTGTCGTCTCTATGAAAGTCATCATTGCCTGTGAGATCCCGAAACACCTTCAGAACAGTTGGAATGTAATCCTTGACCAATTGACAATCTTTCATCGGAGGCAGATCTATCACGCTGTTGCAAATTTCATCACAAGAAACGCCTGCTACCTCTAACACTCCAGGCTTGATTAACTTCGCTGAAGCGGCAGATCTTGCACCAGCGTTGCTGAAGAGGGTAAGCCGGTACAGGGGTTTCTGTAAGTCAACAGCCCAGCTAGGAGATGTGGTCGAGTTACAGATTTCCAGGAACTCAAGGGTGCGTCTCTGCTTCAGGTGAGCGGCCGAAGCTGAGGCCACAATCTGCCTGGCAGACTTGGTGTAGTCTACAGGTATTGATTCGGCAGTATCAACTCTCAGAAACCCCCGAAGGGCATAGAGCTTGTCCCGGAAATCAGAGCAATCATAACGATTCGTCATCGATAACAGAACAACCCAGTCGGCATTGCCTCTTCTAAACTCCTGGAAGGCGCTGCAACTCACCCCCTTCCTAACAACGATCCCAAGATTTGTGTTGTGCCTAGGTAGATCGACAAAGAAAGGTAGTGATTCTGCCCATCCAGTACAACACAGAAACATGGCAGCTTCAATAAAATTGGTCCACAGCATTTGTTCGTCGCCCAACTTGACAATTGATGTTTCCTGATTTGCGAGGACTATTTCTTGGAACGTCCAAAGACGCCAGAACCAGCCCGCGGCTATCAACTGTTCAAATGCAAGCCACTGATCTTGGGAAAGCATGTGAGGCCCTTCGCAATCAATTTTCTGCTGGCTTCCGTCCTCTGTTGGGGCAAAGTGGGGAATGATTCCTTCATCCGGGGATATATCCATGGCTGGAGAGGAGAGTTGGTTTCTCACCCAACGCATGGTTTCCATGGCTGTAGGACTCCAGGACGCGGTAGGACCCAGCCAGACAATGACCCTCCGGGCAGATTCATACAAATCTGCCATACGCTGAACCTGGGCGGAGCGCTCCTCGACGTCCTTTTGATTGATACAGATAGAGTCGCACCACAGTACCCGTTTACGGTGACGGAATCTTAGAGCTCGCAAAGCAGAGGCTAAGTTCGGTCCTATATCAAGGTATCCAGAGTGAATACCAAAGGCTGAAAAGATGAACTTTCGGTAGCTGGAGCTGTCAGGATCTGGAGTCGGATCTAGCTGTTCTTTATCCTTTCGCCATTTCGTCTTGAGTTTGACGGATTCGGGGCGAGACTGATCGCCCCAGCAGTAAGATAGAGCCTCGTAATCTGGGATATCACCGTCTTCAGGTGACAATTTCCTTTGCACGAGGGTCCCAGTGAGGGGATCTTCCGTCGAACCGGGCTGCAGTACCAGAAGCCGTAGCTCCAAGGGTAGTAATGGAGGATATTGAAATGGTGGCATTTTCTTCCAGTGTTGGCCATGTGAGAAGGTAAAAGAATGGGGATTTATTATGCACAATGGGGCCAGTCTCATAAAGAGACGTGGCTGTCAGCCGCAGCGGCTGCATGGATTGCAGTCTCGGAATGTTAAGCGCCTGGAATTCAGGAGGGCTGACAGCGTTTCACTTGTCACCAATTTGGAGCCAATCGAGATGGCAGTAAGCACTGCCGTACCCTTGAGCTGCATAGCAAACCAGCACAATTTAAAATTACAGCCACTATGTAACCAATATTTGATGCATCGCGTCTTGGCGCTGACATAGTGTGCACACCAACAACGTAAAGTTGGGAGAGAAAAACGGTGAATTGAAACTGAGCTCGGTATATAAGAAAGTCATGAAGTAGAATTGAGGAAAAGACCGTATCCAGTACTAAGCCGACCCCATTTTTGTGCCATTTAGCTAGACGCAACCAAGACCTCAGGCTCACCGTTAGTGTAGCTGACACAAACCTGTCCATTACCATCGGAGGTAACAGTACCACTACCAAAGACCTTGTCCCAAGTCTTGTTGTTCTTTCCAGTGTTGAAGCAGGTCTGTCCTGAGTATCCCTGACCGCGGTTCAAAGTAAGAACAATAAGATCACCGTCAGCACGACTCCAAGCATACGCGCTGTTCTGCGAGTAAAGATGCTTGTGATCATTTCCACCAAGGCCACCAACAGCTGAGCGAGCCTTGGAGAGACGTGAGATGTGTTGATAGAGATCCGCGTTGGTGCTGAAACTGCTTCGCCAGAGATCCTCACGGTTAGCGGGATCATTGCCGCCAGCGTAACCTTGCTCCGTTCCGTAGTAGACGATGGGAATGCCTCGAGCCAAAATGACGTATGCGAGGGCGTTCTTGAGGAGAGCCTTGTCGTTCTTCTGGCTTAGCCAACGGGGGTTATCGTGGTTGTCGATGAAGGTGCCAAGGATAGTGGGATCAGGGAATTTGTTGCTAATCTCATCGTGCATGGCGACGACGTCTGAAGGATCGCCCTTTTGCTGATAGAAGCGGTTCATCGGGTAATACATAGCATAGTTCAAAAGACCAGGCATGACCTGGGCATAGCCAGCGAGGTAATCGGGACCCCCATCCCAAACTTCACCGATGGCGTAAACACCAGCAGCGTCTTGGAAACCAGGCCAAAACGGCTTTTCGACATGCTTAACGGTGTCGATGCGGATACCGTCGAAGCTGTACTCAGCAACAAGCCACTTGATCCAGTCGTAAAGGATCTTCTTTACAGTGTCGCTGCCGGTGTTGAGGTCGGGAAGACCGGCGATTTCACACTGCTCGATGCTGCTCTGGTTGCTGTAGTCGATGTCGCAGGGAGTGTGGTATGAGCTTTGCTCGTTAAGTGGGGAGGGTTTGTGGTCTGAGATGCCTTTGCCCATGTGGTTTGCAACGACGTCGCACATGACGTACATGTTCTGGAACAGTCAGCACGGGATCACGAGCAAGGCGGTCACGGTAGAACAGCCAGTGAGGAGGAGTTGGGCTTACCTTGTCATGAGCAGATTTGACAAGACTCTTCAGGTCATCTGCAGTGCCGTACTTGGAGTTAACCGCGTACAGATCCTTGGCCCAGTATCCATGGTATCCGCCATCAGTATCTATCGCCCTAGTCAGTCACTTTTTTTTCAGCCACTCTTACAGTACTTACTATCAACAACAGGCGTAATCCAAATAGCGTCGAATCCCATGCCCTTGATATAATCAAGCTTCGACTCCAGACCCTTAAAAGTTCCACCACAGTAATTTCCGAGGTTTCCGCATGCACTGCCGCCAGTATCATCAGCACTGCGCGCAACACGATCAGTAAGCGCGAAGTAGATGTTTCGCGACTTCCAAGCGTTTGCATCCGCTGCATGCGCAAGCGGGCTGATGCTAGCGACGATGGTCGCAAGAAGAGAGAACTTCATATTGAACTTGAGGCGAGGAATGAGGATGAGAGTGCTGCTGAATCTCAAGACATGGCGGGATGAAGCCCTTTTATCGTAAATTTCAAAGTGTTCAAGACAAGACGAATAGTATGTTTCGAATGATGAAGGATTTAATTACAGTGTTAGCGCTTTGTTCAGCTATAGCACCAAGGACCGAAGGATTCGTTAACAGTGGGTTAACAGCCGACCAGAAGCAGAAAACCTCCGGAGCTGACTTCTCGCGTCTGATTGGGTGCGCTTGCGGGGTCATGTCATTAAACGTTATAGTGCACGAGCGTTTGAGGTTGAGACGGGAGCTCCAATGGTGATCATCGTGACAGGGGTACACCAGATGACCTCTTTAACTTGGTATCGGGCCGAAACTCGATCTTCTTTTGGTGGGTGTCACGTTGACAGGCGGAGTTTCCGCGTGCTCCCTGCGTTTATCATGCACCACGTTGTCTGCATCGTCTTTCTGCATGGGTATAGATCCATTTCATCATCGATTTAGTGGCTCACCTCCCTATTCCATCACGGAGCTTTTTACAGCGTCGCACGGACTAGCACCAACTGAGTAAAAGTTCCTGTTGTTCGTTTGGAACAACATCTTGATAGACTTCAGCACTTTTACCATTTTAGCATCATTACCCGTTTATTCGGGCCGCCCCCGCAAGTGTGAGTGGACTTGCAGATGTCTAGCATACATCCTCGGCTCTCAACCCCGGATTTCTGTACCAAGTGCATGTGTAGTATCCCTCTTTGAGTTTATGATTTCTTTGACTATTAATGCCCTACCGGCAGTTTTCGGTCCTACTCTCTTGATCTCACTAAGCCAAGAATGTTTCTCCGTGGTGGAAATAATCTCGACGTCTTCTTTCGTATCTTACCCTATCGTCGTGATAGACGTTGCGGGCAATTAATTATTGGACATTTCAGCTGATGATTGCTTCATCACCGCCGGTAAAGAGCCGAGCCTTGGATGAACTGATATCATATGTTGATTTTAGTCATTGCATGAGTATCGTGAAAACTTTGCTCTGGGGTTGCTGGGTCCATTTATGGCGTTTATGCTGTCGATCTCCGTACTCGATTGCCGAGGTTACCTCCCAAACCCATCCCTATGGCCGTGCGACGTAGCAATGCAGCTCATTCTTGCTGCAAGCGAGCTGGCTCACATCTTCTGTAAAGCATGAAGAGCGGTGTATTCTGACCGACCAGACCCAAGATTTAGTCTATGATCGGCTTTGAGGCCATCCGTGAATATCCGCTGGCCCGATGAAGATGTAAAGGCTCAATTATGAGTTCGGTGCTATTCACATCATTGACATCAGAATAGTACGAGGTCTTTTCCTGTTTGCTTGGCGAATAAGTCCCATCTCATATCACCACCGTTCTTCCAATAATCCCTCATGAACTCCAGGACGTTTTCATAGCTGCCCATTCCACGTGCAGTCATGCTCTCCATCGTTTCTACAACGATGGTGCGTTCGGCATAGGTTGTTGAGTCGCAGCCTGCTGCAAGAAGTGGCCACAGAAGTTGAGCGTGAACAGGAGACTGTTTGTCGATGTTTTGTAATGAGTTGATAATCGAGTTCACTGTTGTTTGAACTTTTGGATTATCCTTGGGTAGTTCGTTTACCCGCCTATAAAGACACAATAGTGTTGCATCAGTGAATAGTCTGTGGCTGGCTTCTAGTTCTGTCCGGAGCACTGTGTCTGTCACTGTTGAAGCGGTCTTTTTCCGAAGCTCGATCAATTGAACTTCAAGTTCTTGAGGGGATGTACTGCACGCTAGATCGTTTTCATACAACTGGGCACTCGCATCGACATTCATGCAACGTGGCTCAGATAGCTCGCAGACAATATTAAGAGCAGTCACGAGCTCCCGAGAAAAGCCGGAAGTGAGATCAATGCGACCCAAGTCAGGCATACAAGTCAAAAGGTAGTCCCAGTCGATGAACCCTTTCGTCTGCCGCGAAGGTAGTGGCAACCCTGAAAGTCTGTTCATCAACAGGAGGTGGACGAGCCACTTGAGACTCATCCACCATAAGGGATCCAGACTATACTTCGACTTATCACGTTGAACGATATGAAGAGCCCCGTTGAGATGCTTCCGAAAGGTCGTCGTATCCCCAGCGCAAACACATGTCGTAGCCAGCATCAACGTCGTCGGCAGTATTGTCACTCCAAGGTTGCCAAATCCTGGTGTAGTAATTGCTTCTCGGAGGTTTCCCAGACACTCCACAGTCGCCGATATTGCTGCACTCTTCGATTCTGGGTTTCGCGCCATTCTGAAGAGTTGGCTGCTGCTGGCGGCGATCATTGCCCCCATGATACAGGGGCTGAGATCAGCGGCTGGTATAATCAAGCTTAGAGCCATGTCCGGTTGCAGTGGCCAGTATACTATCGCTGTGTGGGCTACAAAGTGCTGGAAGTAGATCCGCCGAGGATCAGACCGGAGTGGAGGGCTGGACGGTAGAGAGATGGAAACGCTGAGCCTTGGTGGGCTTAGTGCAGGAAAGGAAATCAGGAAATCAGAAGAATCATCTAGCATTGATGATGAGAGGAAGCTGCTGTCAAATGTATCGGATGTATCGGTATAAGAAATGAGTTGGTGGGAAGTGACAGCTGAGCTTGGTGCCAGAGACACTTGTTGTCCACCGGCCGTCACATCGGTAAAAGGTGGCTGTGTCTTTATCTGGTAAAGTATATTGAGTGAGTCTGAATTCAGTTGAATCATCTCAGTTAAGGTAGATGAATCATACCTGAGCATTACTAGCTGGCTTCCGTTTTGCCACTCTGAAGGTCTTGACGCTCAACTCATATGAGCACAGGTGAGGGTACTTGTAGCATCTAGAACATGACGGCCTCTTCTCATCGCACTTGCCCAATGTTAATGCAAACGAAATCTGAGAGCAGATAGTGAGCATACCTTGGCCTTCTTCCTCTTGCACTCAGTGCATCCTGCACGTCGTCTTTGGGACTGCTCCATTGCGTCATACACTTAGTAAGTGAGAGGGAGACTAAAAGGAATGAGAATTATGATTGGAATCTAATTC